ATGAATTGGAAAATACGAAAGTCTTACTCATATTTTGTTTTTTTCAATAAGGATTTATTTATGACTAAAGACAAACGAGAGCAGAATCTCTACAGGAACCATTTAACTTTGCAATGCAGTTTTAAAACATAAATATTTCAAATTTAAACCAATTCATAAGCAAATAAGGAACAGTACCTCTATAAAGTAAATCGTTATCACCAAGAGAGAAATTTAGCCCGCATTTCAGTTCAACTTAATCTAACGTTTTCAGAAATTTACTTAACACTAGCCTTTTCTGGGAATCTAAGAGTAAGGAATTCCAAAAAGTTTTTTTGTTTTTTATATTATTTGTTTAGCTTCAAACCAGATTGTTATATTATTTTCCCAAAAACAAAGAGTTATCCAGAAAGAAGCAATGGGAACTAAATAATCTTGAATTAAAACCGATAAAAGCGATATTCTGTGAGCTAGTGTTCTATTCAATGCCCGATAACGCTTTTCTCTAAAGTGGGTTAGAACTCCAATCTCTTTCGCTGCCTCCGCCTTGGGGATGACTCACATAGACGTCAATATAGACGTTGATATCGGGGTATTCGAAAAAAAAGGGGGACAGAGACTTAAAGACGTCAAAGGGTTAACCAAGCTGTCGATAAGGATTCGGACTGGAACACGTCATAGCTGGCCTGTAAAAAGTGATTCTGGAAATGGGAATGGAAATTCGAATGGGGTTGGGGATGTAGATAGGGACATAACCCGCGCCGGGTTCAATGTACAGATGTCTTGGGGCCACACCTGTTGCCGAAACTACAATAAAAATACAAAAACCTGCGTCGCAATAAAGCAAGAGCAGAGCAGCAACAGAAACAGCAACAAAAGCAGGCAGAACGCAGAAATCACGCTACGATCATAAAGGCGAAACGTGCTAATAAAAGCAAAAACAAAGCTCGAATCGCGCTTCTGAGCGGTAAGAAGAACCCCTAGGAGTTGCACTTGAACCCAGTTGGAATCTAGAATCCAGAGCTGAGATGGAATGCCGGCGATTTTCTCCAGGTGATGATGAGCGAACCCAAACAGATAGTACCACGCGCACGAACCAGATGCAGATTCAGATACTATGCTAACCCGAAATGAGGCCAAGGCAAGCAACGGCCACGACCTAAAAAACACTGCGAGAAACCGGAACAGCTGAAGATGCTCAGCTTGGTAAGTTAAGCTAAACTTCTAACAGTACTGAAGAATGACTAAAGTAATTTAATTCTAATAATAATATAAAGATATTGAACTTAATTTCTGTAAAAGTTTAAGAATAGTTAGAATTCTTAAATATTTTTTTAAATGGACCTTATAACTATACTTTTAGCATTATAAATTTATTCTGATAACTAAAAATAGCTCACGCGTACTAGTTATGAACGCGATTAGTTACAATCTTAAGTTAAACAAGGGTAGAATATGATAGCCTTTTTAGGGAACACACACAGAATTTAAATGAAATTAAATTTTTAGCTCATGAGTAATATTTTTAGACTTAAGAAAGTAAATAATTGCAAATTTAAAATGATATTTATTTTTTTCTGGGAAAATAAGATTTTTTAATTATGAGTAAGTTATTATAAAGATGGCAATATTAAAAACAAGCACTTAACCGATATTAGGGTTTAACTTCGGCGTTTAACTTTCCATATGATTAGCAGGAATAACAATGAATAATGTCAGTTACTCACTCACTTTAGCATTATCTTAGCTGTGGTATTAATGCATATACTATTTTTAATACAATGTTGCTTTTTTTAAAAGTAAATGAAATTCAGTTTTGTTTTTAATAGCAAACTGAAGTTAGTTTTCTCTCTGTGTAGCGAAGGCAATCAATTTTAAGATTTTTTCCTACCAAAAGTAGCCGCTGAAGTCGTGCGATTTAAGAACGCCCACGGCATCTGAAGAGCGGCTTCTGTTCTTCACCGCCCCGAAATCTTCTCCGAATTCTTTTGTTTTGGCTCCCAATATTCGTAAAGAGGCGATGCACCAATACACTCGTAAATATTCCTATTCCAAAAGAGGAAGAATCTCAAGTCCAGCTCACATACACAAGCACAGACGAAGTGCAATTAAAGGTGTTCGCACTGTACGTGTTTCGAGTTCACTGTACCCGTTACCTTTCGCGCGTATTATTAACTCAAATATACACAAAATATAACAACAGCAACAAGAACAACTCGTACATCAAAAATGACTTAAAATCTCGCCACACGTCGATGGAATAAATGCATTCGGGGCACTGAAAGAAAGGATTTTCATCTTAATTTCTCATTAAAAATATATATTTATTCTATAAACTAAAACAAATGGAGGTGAGATAGTGTCAATCATCTTGATCTGACCTATCACAAGTTTCACTTAACATTGAACCCACCTCTGACTCAACTTTTTATTGCAGTGTATTAATATATATCCATTCCCAGTGGTATTTACTTGTGCGTAAGTATTTGCGACCGCTCCCTCGCCAAAAACGGAAAAAAACAATTTGTATCCTCGCTCGCTCGCTCCTCGCTCCATAAACAATGAGAAATGTTGCATCCGCCTTTGTTTTTGTTGGGTGAGTTTGCGAACTGATCCGCGTTGTTTGTTGTTGGCGTTATAAAAGTGTCATTAACATGTCAACGGGTCGCGAAAGTTCGCCAAGTTTTAATGGGTGGTGGGAGGGTGATCAGGGGTGGCTATGCACCGAGCAGGGAACTGGATTAAAAATGTTTGCGACCACCAATTGTTTTTAGGGGCTGCACGAATATGTAAATTCCGCGTTTTTATTAATTTTAATCAGAAATGAAATAAACCCTTAGTTTGTTGGTGCAGTGTGAAAAAATTTGTTATCAAATATAAAATAAAAAATCAAAAAGTATTCACACTTTTAATCTAAATATTATGGATTCTTATAGATTCCTTTATCCCTATATTATTTAATAAAAAATCAAATCAATATCAATTACGATATTTGGCCAATACGATATTTGGATGTGTACGATCTAATTTGTTTACTGTGTACCCTTTCTCTCCCTTTTGTTGTCAAGCGAAAAAGTTAAACGGTAACCGGCCCAAAGTTCAATATGCTCTCCCGCTCTCTTTCCCACCCACTCAGCCACCGCCTCTACCCCTCCCTTTTTAACACCCCCTACTGCTAACCAAAAAAAAGGAACAGCAAGGCAAAGGCAAAGACCAGAAAACAAAAACAAAAACTATGTGACGCCAGAGCAGAAAAGTCAATGATCGACTGGCGCTGGCGTTGTTGTTGTTGTTCTTGTTGTTGTCATAATTAAACGCGACAAATAAAATTTGAAGAAAAAAAGAGACGCCGCCGTCGCCAGGCTGAAATTCGACAACAACAATACAACAATGAGACAACAATAAATTCTTCAATTAACATTCGCACAGGTAAAAGAGAGAGAGGCCGAGTAAGAGCCAAAGAGAGCGGGGGTGAGAGTGAGCAGCACGCAGAGAGCGTGACAGCCTGCCAGTGTATTTGTATGGTTATATCGGTTACGTACATAGGTGCGTGTGTGTGTGCCAGGATCATTTGCATTTTCGCAAGGTGTCGCATAAAGGCAACAACAAAATTCGCTGATTAAAATGCATTTACAACAACAGATACGGCAGAACAAAAAAAAAACAAACAAAACAAGAACAAATTTCGCTGCTGCAAAAAAGTGGGCACGTCGCGCATATTTTTGTGATCCCCTTTGTGGTTGTTGTTGTTGCATAGATTAAAAATCAGCAAAACAAAATTTTGAACACAAGTGAGGGAGCGGAGGAAATAGCCAGGCAGTGCTGACAGCTTCAGCTATTTTCGCGCTAAATTTAAATAAACAAATTTTGGAGCATACTTTTTGAAGCAATTTCGAGGGATTTTAAACCTCTGTATGAAAAAATATAAATTGTTTACGTACAAACATTTTAATTTTTTAGTTTTTATAAGCTTTTTTCAGAGAAAGTCAGCATGACTAATTTACTAAAAAATAAAACTTATCATTAAGTAAAAAACTTAAAAAAACATTTCCTGTTTGTGCTTAAAAACAATTAACTTTTAAAATTTATTTACTAAAAACAAACTAGAAGCATACGGATATTAGTTTTTTTAAAAAGTGAAATTTCCTTTATTAAGTAAGTAATATTATTACAAGCTGTTTGTCTAAGAATAAACTGAAGTGATACGATTGCTAAATAAATATTTGTATTATTTTGAGATTATTTTATTTCTATATTTATCATGTGGAACCACCTATTTGCTTTGCTCCTGAAAACCTGCCACCTTCCGATCGCACTTGCTGTTGTTGTTGTTGCCGTTGCCTCTGCGACGGCTGTTCTACATATTGTTATTGTAGTTGGAGCTGCCGCCGCGTGCCAGCGTGGATTAGTCATAGTTTTTTCGCCGCTGACGCAGCCATGAAGACGTCGGCGACGACAATCGCAGTGATCTATGGACAGGCGAACGGAGCGGATCGCTGATTTAGCCAATTGGCGCCAAATCGTAACAAGCAGGCAAACAAACCAATAAACCAACAAACAAACAAACAATCGAACAGAAAAATCCAAAAAAAGAAAACACAGCCAAAAAGGTGTTTGCGAAAATCAAACACTGGACCACCGCACATGCGATTAGTCACAAAAAGAGAGAAAATAAAAATAAAGGCAAAACTGAAATAAAACGCGCCTCGTAATAATTTGTTTCTTCGGTTTGTGTGTTATATTTTTTTTTATTTTATTTTTGACAATTTTCGTTTCGGGTTTTCGTATTTAGTAGCCTTTCAGCGCAGTCTTACCTGGTTTCAGAGCGCAACGAAAAGTATTGAAAAAAAAAACTGTAAAAAATGAAAACAAAGTGATCGCGAGCGCACTTCGTTTCTCGTCGGCTGCCTTCGGCTATTTGAATGTGTGTGCGTGCGCGCGTGTGTGTGTGCGCCTTTGAGCGCAGGTTTATCAAAAATTTTCATTTTCAGTTTTAATACAATTTGTGCCGCGCTGCCGTGTGGATGTCTTAGCACTCAGTCCTGGCCTAAAAAATAAAATAAAAAATAAATAAATCACGAACAAGCAAATACGAACGTGCGGTGAAAGATTTAGTTCTAAAAATTAATAAACAAATGCAGCCAATACAGGAACATGCAGTGTCTGGTTTTTCGAAACCCTCGCCTGTTTATAGCTAAATCACGTAACGTAATCCGTGTTTGTTTGCCCGATTCGGAGTTTGTTTACGCGTCGTTTACCGTTACCCAGCCACTTGGCCCGCACGTGCTGATCGAAAATCGAAAAACGATCGAAAGGCCAAGAAGTCGATCACTTTTGAGGGCGGTCGCTTCAGAGTGGGCGTGTGCGCCAATAATAAGCCAAAATTGGTCAGAGAAAAAACGCTCATTATCAGTGTAAAAGTGTAATGTAAATGCAAAAAAAGCGAAGTGAGAGTTGACTCATCATATCGACTGCCTGTGAGATCGCCATGAAATCCAGTTGCAAACAGTAAAGCGCATTTCTACGCATTGCGAACATTGTAAATAAGTTTGAAGAGTTCTTCTCGGTAAACGAAAGCTGAAAACCAAAAGTCATTAAAGTCTATAAAAGCAATAAACAAAAGTATTTAATACTAATAATAAAGATTACCACCTTCGGGCTTGAAAGTATTATACTTTTAAAAGATATAACTATCAAACCTCAAGCCAACAAAGCTAATAAAAGCGAATTAGTAGAGCAACTACAAGTTAATAATCTGGAGTGAATACTAAAATAAAGCCTTAATAATAGTTAATAACAAGAAACCCTCAATCCAAACAAATTTGCCAAAAATTACATATAGCCAAAAACCAACACCCAAAACAGAAACAAAGCGTGTAAATAAGTTTCGTGATATTAAAAATACGTGTAGTAATTGCAGCAAACAGCAACCAACAACCAGCAAACAGAAAAGAGCAAACAAATAAAAACCAGCGATAAATCAAGCCAAAAATAAGTTCGCAAAAATAATAAACAAAGGAGAGCAGGAAATTGCAACATCTTGTGATAAACGCTGACAATTTGTTGCCCGTTGAATGATTGCAATAAAGGCCATCGAAATGCAGCACAACAACGGCGGCGGTGGCGGCGGCAACGCACTGCAGCAGCAGCAGCAGCTTCTGCTGCAGCAACAGCATCAAAATCAGCAGCCTGATAATAATTATATTTGGGGTAACAACCACAATGGCAGTATCGGCAACAACAACAATACAATGTTGCAGTTGCAGCATCAACAACAACTACGCGCCGCCTCCTGGATAACCGATTGCAATAAGCAGCGCCACATTAACAACAATAACAGCATGAATGTCAATTACAATCAGCACTTGACGCAACAGCAACAGCAACAGCAGCAGCAGCAACAAGCTCAGTACATGCAACCCAATTACAACAACTACACGCAACAGCAGCAACATCTTGTGCCAGCAACAACATCCCAATCCAGCAATCATTTCTATCAGTGCCAACAACAACAGCAGCAGCAACAGCAGCAATTCCTTGCCCCCGCAATAACTATCTCGCCACCAGTAACATCCCACCAGCAACTTCAGACACATCAGCAACATCACACGCAGCATCAGCATCAACCACGACAGGACTATTCCGCCCTTCAATTGGCCAGACAAGTAAGTTAACTTATTTTTACAGAAAAAAACTTAAAAATATATTATTAAACATAAAGAACAAAGCTCTACATCATGTGAATATTTTTAATTTGTGTTCATCTTCCAAATCTTAAATTAATTTCTTCAAATATTTTGGTTTCCTTTTGAAAGAGTTACCGAAGTATTTCCAGTATATAGCTTCTTATTTACCAAATCTTAGCTATCAAGATTTGCTCTCAGTGCCTTCACTAGCAAGTACATATGTAGGCATTATGATTTGCCATCTCCCTCATCTCCGCTCATGATTTGTCGACGACTTTCCACTTGCGGTTTGGTGGGCGGCGCTTCGTCCCAACTTAGAGTTTTTGCTCGCTTTTGTTTCCGTTGATTTTTGCATTTATTTCTTAATTGCGTTTTAGTTGTGTGCGTTGTTGTTGTGAGAAATTTGTGGTTGGGAAAACTAACAAAAATGGCGACAAAGGGGCGTATACTTGATCTTTCGCTGGAGCTTTCGTCACGTATACGACATGTGGAGCGCGGAGTGTTCCCCCAAAAATACTTACTTTATCTGAAGTAAATATTTACTGCTCTGCTGGCTGTGGCGTGGGAATGCCACTCCCCAAACACACAAAAAAAGGGGAATAAGTAAATAAAACAAACAATAAAAAATACATTTCGAGTAATTTAATTTGTTTCAACTGCGAACTGAACAAAAAAAACTGGATCTCTATATATATATGCATTTTGCAAATATATATAGATGTGTTTAAATAAATTTAAATTAATCCAGCAGACAGTTACAGATTTGCGCGGCAGCAAAAGGGTTTATTTAACCTTTGGAGAGTGATGTTGCCCGAGGGAGACTTGACCTGTTTTCACCCCATTACACCAACTTTTCGTTGGTGAAGTTTAATTTTAGATTTCGAGTTATCGCAGCTTATTTAAAGTTAAAAACGAGTTGCTTAAATCAGTTCAATTGAAACAAATCTCGAAGAAATAAATCACTTAAGTACATTCCTAATTAAAACGAACATAAAAACATTTTGGAATTTGTCTCAATCTTTAAATCAGAAGAAAACAAGGGAAAATCCTTAAACAAAAGCCATTTTAGTGTTTTTGTTTTGCCTAAAAATAAACAAAACAGTTGACGGAATGTCTCTATTATTAGCCAGGAAATGGTATGTTTTCCTACATAGGAAAACTCTTTTTTAAATCATCGTGGAAGGTAACCCTGAGAAGTAACCCTGATTCTTACCACCCGTTGTTGGATTGTCGTCAGAATGGCATTATCTGCTGGCAGAAAACCCCTCAACTTTTCTGTTTAATCTGGGCGATCGTCGCCACTCTAGAGTTCCCGCACCTGATAGCGTCATGGGTTAAAAATACGGTGGTGATGCATGAGTCCGTGTCGCGCCGGAAAGTCTACGCCTTGCCTGTAGCCAGACTCTCTGCCAGCTAGAAAGAAAGACAGCGAACACACGTCGGAATCGGAATCGGAGTCAGAGCACCTTCCTCCAGATAAGAACCCACCTGCACAGTCACGAACGCTTGGCCAGGAAGTGTAAAAGCCGTAAACAGCCCCAAGTCCATCAGTCCGCACTGCAAAAACAAAACAAAAGCAAATCAGCCAGCTGAAAAGTGAGACCCGTAGAACGGAAATGCCATAGAACGAACACTCCAGGGCACATTCATATGGCTAAGTGTGTGTGTTTGTTTGGCTTTTGGTAAGGGGCTGATTTTCGCCACTTATCTTCGGCCTTCGTTGTTGGCCACATTGTCGAGAGCTGTTATGACTAGGCCAAATGGTTTCACGTTGGTTAGGCCCGTTAGTTGCCAATGCTGCTCTCATATCAATCTGGGCTATCAACTAATCAATAAGATGCGGGGCAGATTCTCATACAAGTGCTGAATCATATTGAATTGCGAGTTATTGATAGACACAGAAAAGTAATTACCTGAATAATTGAACTTTTAAATGAGTTATTAAGGTGTAAAGTTTTTTTTATAATTGTTCAGAAAAGTTGTCTTTAGACATGTTTTGTACACAACCTAAACATCTCTCGAAGGCAAAGAAGATAGAAGATGTTTTTTAGATTCTGAATTGGGATTTGGATATGGATGTTCTCAGTATTTTTTTCTACATAATTATAAAAGCAACCCTTTCTCATAGAATTCAATTTTTTATAATACTTTTAAGCTTTCTATAAAAGATAAAGATTAAAGGGCTATGAATAAAGGGGTTGCCAACATAATTACAAATATCATGGAGTTAAAAATAACAAAGAACAGTAATTCTTGTAAATGATCCCCTAGAATTACCATTCTTAGGTCATTCATAAAGAAACCCCAGCGATAAAGCTACGTTCCCATTGATTTCCAAGAAAAAACGATGTCGTGGAAATCGTAAGTGTTTAGGAAACTCTTAAATGACGTTAATGCTCTTGGGAAATGGGGAACTTTTATGTTGATTTTTAGTGCTGTCCTTGAACTTGTCGTGTTTTTTTTCAGTTTGTTTTCTTTGTGGCCCTCTCTCAGCTTTGTTGTTATTAATTATTACAAAAACAATTAAGCACTCGAAATTAACAACTTTAATTTGCAGTCGTTTAGGTTTTATTGTTGCCATATCTGTTATTATTCCGTATGCTTAATTTTTTAATGAGCGTCGCTCGATTTGTTTTCAGCTTCTACCTCGTTTTTGTAGTGCAAAACGGTTCTACAACAAAGCCATTAAGTTTTCTTAATCATTTAGACTGCAACTAGTAGTTGGCAAACAGCAACGCCTGCTCCGCCTCCCTGTTTATAAGCCCATTAGCGGACCTAGTAATCAGCTGTTTTCGAGTGAAGGTCTCTTGGATTTTGAATGCGATTCAATAGCCGGGAAAGTGTTGATTTTGGACTATTTGTCCCTGAATTGGATTAACACTCGAGGGGAAGTCTATAGCAACAAGAAACAGCAGGTACCTTTGGACGTGCACTTTCATTCTTGCTTATAATTGCAACGGAAATAGTTTGGTATATGATTAATACCTTATAGAGACCCTAAATTCCCGCTGGTTTTGTTTTTTAACTACAACTTTCTTGGCTTATTCATTCACTACCAAGAAATATAAACAAAATTCTGGGAAATCAATGACTTGGTGGCCGCAATCGATGACGTCGTTCATAATGACGTGATCATAACTTTAATCAATGTAAACATTATTCAAACGATCATATCGCCAAGTAAATAATTAAGTACGAATACGAGTTGCGGGGACTTGAATAAATCGAACGTCAGCAAGCACTTGAAGTGAAATATACACATGATTATAATGTAATTGAAACTTCAAGATACAAACGACGAACAAACACTGGAATCGAGATCAAATGAATGGGGAAATGTGTGTCCTGAGAAGTGTTTGCTGGAAAGTTGCGATTTATTTATACGGTTCTTAAAATAAATCTTAAAAAAAACATGGCTTAAATACTTGCGATATCAAATTGCCAATATTTATAAACTTAACTTTTGAGTTCCATAAAATATTTAGGGATATATAATATATAATATATATATAAATTATCTAAGAAATATTATCAGCGATAAGTAAAAGTTTTAGCAGATCTAAGTTCTAGTTTCCGCTACTTTTTGATTTGCCGGAACTTGGATGTTAACTTGAAAAGTGATAAGCTGAAAATATTTTACAGTTTCCGCTTCCGATTCCGAGCGTCACTTCCATTGAATTCTTAGCCCATAAAATATAAGCTAGAATGGTAACCTAATCGCCGTTGCCCCCGTGCAGTCGCCTGGCAAATTACAGCCACATTAACATCAACAAAAAAGGCATTCAACCCTCAGCCTTGATATGCATGTCCCTCCTCTGGAATTCAGAATCGGTGATCGAGAGTCGGGAATTGGGAAGTGCTAGGGCGTCGCCAGGCACTCAGACATCGCTTATCGAGCTCGTGCTGTGAGAGGACTCCCAGCCGCAGTCTCAATCGAAGACCAAGTCTCCCTTCCCGGCTAATGGCCACAAAACATTTCGGCTACCTGGACACCTCACCTAATGGGCCGCACATTCGCATCGGAATCTGAATCTGAGTCTCAATGGGAATGGGTATGGCTGTGGAAATGGAATTAATGCATTACCTCAGGGAGGAACTGCAACTAATAGACGCATTTAGCACGCGCCCAAATGCATCTTGCAGATACTCGCACTCATTAACTGACCTCAATCAGCAAATGTCTGCACAGGAAGAAAATATGAGAGAAATATGTTAAAGATAAAAAAAGGCTACAAAAAACGTATTCTTTAGATTTTAAAGAAAAGAGAAAGTTGAGTATTTTTATAATTTCATCACATTTTGAAACTCGAAAAACAAACTCACAAGGTGAACGAAAATCTTTAAAAATCTATATAAAAATGTAAATTTTTTAAATTCCGATTTCCCCAAACATTTCAATGATGTCTTTTCACGGCGTGTGGCACTTGCATTGGCCGCCAATTGGCGATGAAATCAAGAGGTAGGAAGGGGGATTAACACAGGTAACCTGTCCGCGTATCTGAGGCTCCGAATGTCTCTGAAATATCTCTGAATCGCGGGAGGCCCACACCAGTTTCTCTAAATAGCGTTGTGTTGGTGCCCAAGGTATCCGTGTGTAAAAACCCCGATGACTCATCGTCGTCATCCATTTCAGAGTGCCGATGCGTGCCCGCGCCACTTTGGCATACATAACACACATAGCCGCAAATCGGATTCAAAACCAACAAATCCAACATGTGCCCGGGCAACTGGTCCTCTTTTTGAGTGGGAACCACCTCTGAGAAGAGAGAGTCATCGTGTGAGAGAGAGAGAATGGAGAAACCAAAACAAAAACGTTTCGTTCAAGTAGAAAATGTCAACAAACGAGCTGCGCGCCAAATTGACACTTTGAGTTAAATCATTTCGAGTTGAGTGGGAATTGAAATCCACTCGGTATTGAGTTACTCTCTTTCTTTACGGAAAATCGCATGCAATAACTTTCTGGCATTCGACTTGCATCTGTATCTGTG